AGTGAAGAATCAGGTTTGAGAGTGAGGTTAATTTAAGGAATTATTCACTGAATAGTTGAAAGAGACTCTTGAATAACTTCTCTATTCCTAGAGACCATCCCAAAAATGTAATGGTCAGAAGTAGACTAGAGGCAGGACTAGAAGATTACTATTGGCTCTTGGATTTGCATTCTAAAAAATTAGGTCATGACCTGAGAATATAGGATTAATCTTAGAAATAGGAAACAAAATGGTGCTTCTCATCCTAAGTAAAGGGGACTTCAAAGAAAGTAATGTTTATGTACTGTGAATCAAGGAGATAACCAAACTTTTCTGGTGGCTATGCTTTTTTGTTTGTTTTGCAATACACTTGGAAGTCATGAAACAATTTGTAATTCTGGAAAGACTCAGTGCCAAGTCAGTATTGGTAGGTGAAGATGACAGCCTGAAAATTGACGTTGAGAATAAGATTGTATTCCTTGTAGTTGTTTGATATATACCCCAAGAGTTATACCAGGGGGGCTGTTTCAGTGGGGAGCAATAATTCATTAGCTGAGTCATGTCTGGAATACAGGGCAACTTCTGGGGGGAAATTAGGGGAGGGCCCCATCTTTAGGAACTTTCGGGTCTAGGATAAGTCTCATAGCTGGGAAGTAGGGAATTGGTATTTATTAAGTCAGGTTATAAAATAAGTTAGTAACAGGGGAGCCAAAGTAAAGGAATAATCAGAAAATTTTTGAGTTAACCAGAGAAGATTCTTTGAAGGTAATGAAGATAGGGAACATGGAACAGAAGAGAGGAAGGTGATTAGAGAGGGGAAATTTATGGAAGAAGGTTTATGTGTGTTTTGTGCAGAGGGCTGTGAATGGACTAGTCAGAGTGGCACAGGAAGGAATATTAGGGAATGAAGTCAGAGGAACAATCTTGTTGGCCAAATGAAGAATTTAAATTTGATGTGGTTAGCAGTAACAGCAGAGCATGGTAAGATGAATATGATGTTGAAGACTTTTGCAGCTGTACTGGGTGAAGGAAGCAGGAAAGCTTGCCTAGGATATCATTTTTCTGGTTCAGATGTGAAGCCCTGAGGGCCTGCACTAGAGTAAGACTGGAATGAGAAGAAAGGAAGTGAGTCCATAGCAATGAGCAAGGCTTGATAATTTGGATGTGAGGGGAGGGATAAAAGCCTGAAGATGATGACCCCAGGACATATTTATGCTCTTGATGGTGATGAGAGCTTGGAAAGTGGTAGCTGCTTTGTTATTAAGAAGCAGGATATGTTTACTAACCTCTTGATGGGAGTCTGGTAGGGGCACCCCCCACCCCTGGAAAATAGGTGTGCATGTGATGTGTACCCAGAGGTTCACCCTCACTCTGCCCTTTTCAGATTGGAAATCAGGTAGAAGAGAGTTGCTGGGATGTGTCCTAGACTTGAAGAGTGCTATCCCACTCCGCATCTGGGAAAGAAAATACAGTTGTTTTTTCCAGTTTCTTTCCCTTTCGTGCTTTGGAAATGGGATATGACTAGCCTATGGCAGCATGTGCCTGTGGATGCACAGTTCTCTGGCTTGATTCTTGGAAGGCCTTTTTCTGTCCCTCCCTGGGGGTCATTTGTATCTCTGGTTCCTGCTCCCAGAGCCATAAAGTGGGAGCCCCCATTTATTAATTGGGTTGGGACTGGGGAGGGGGGCGGCGGGGGACTCTTTAGTGCGGCAGGCGGGGGTCTTCCCGAATGAGCCCATTAGCCAGCCCCAATGGCAGCTGAAATGGGGCTGCAGCCAAGTCCTCTTCGTTTCAAAAACCCTCCATCGCCTGCAGCAGATCAGAACAAGGCCTGCGGGAGCCCTTAGCTTCTGATTGCAGCTGTGAGGAAGGACAAAACAATTTATAGGAAGCCAAGTAGCTCCTGTCTCACTCTCTTCCTTTCTGACTTTGGGGAGGGGGAAGAGTGGGTTGTGGTGTTTCCTCCCACCATAGCTTCTTACAAGGCATATGTGGCCTAGAGTAGGAGAAGACAGGAGTGTGTGTGCGTTGATTGGACATTTATGTCGATGCTCTGAATGTGTTTACACATGTCCACACGCGGTTGTATTGGATAAGCAGCACTACTTATAGGGGCTCTCTAGGGCAAAGCCAAATGTGTGCCCAGACTCTTAAATAGTTTAGGGTGTGTGTTGTGAGGGGGCATGCTTATTATACTCTTCCCTGCCCATTACCTGCCTTGCCTCCTATCTGCTTTATCAAGATTCGTGGTTAGAGTTAGATCACCATCTTAACTAAGGGACAAACAAGTGAGTTGGGAGGCCTTCCTTTAAGCCACACTCCTTCTATTACGAAGAAAATATATTAAGGCAGCATGAGAAGACAGGAATCTGCAGGAGAGCTTCTTACTGCATTGGCCCAGAGCCGTGGCCGGCAAACCACGGCTCGCGAGCCACACGCGGCTCTTTGGCCCCTTGAGTGTGGCTCTTCCACAAAATACCATGTGCGGGCGCGCACGTACAGTGCAATTGAAACTTCGTGGCCCATGCGCGGAAGTCGGTATTTTGTGGAAGAGCCGGTATTTTGTGGAAGAGTCACAGTCAAGGGGCCAAAGAGCCTCATGTGGCTCGTGAGCCGCGGTTTGCCGACCACTGGAGAGAGAAGGTGCTAAGGGCAGGAATGTCTCACTTCCTGATGGAAAGACACTAGTGTCTTCTCCCTTATAGAATTATAAATGGCCAGAGCTGGAAAGGGACCCTAGAGGTCACCTCTCAGTTTACAGAGCAGGAAACAGTTCCTAGAGAGGGAAGTGCCTTGCCCACGGTTTCATAGTGAGGTAGTTAGTGGCATCCAGCCAAGACTGGAATCCAAGAGGCCAGAATGTTAACCAGAATTTTAGTCTGAGTATAGAGCCCCCAACTTGAAGATCACCAATTCCTGAGAGCCATGAGCTTCCTTAGGAAAGGAAGATAGGGCTGTGAGATTTTGAGAGGGGAGGGACAGATTGAGGGGAAAAGGTAAATAGGAAAAAAATTGGTAGAAACACTGAGAAAAGGCTTTATATATGTTCACCTCAAAGACTAACTTTTCAATGACCTCCATATTACACAAGTGTAATTTTTATTTAGAGTCAAGGGTTCTGATTCATTGGAAAGCACGTGACAGTCGTGGCTAAAGATCTAATGCTGTCGGAGTTACTCCAAAGTTCAAGGAGCACTTTGCCACCATCTCTGGGGGTGGGATAGTCAGAAGACCCTCAGAGGCAATGTGAGGAATTTACCCTACATCTCAGCTCAGGCTTCTTTGTATTATACAATGCAGCTGTATTAAAAAGTGAGCTCAGAAGGAAGGAAGGAGCAAAACACATCTCACCTGCTGGGAAACTAAGGAGAGTCACTGAATGAGAAGGAGGGATTATAGAACTGCAAGTAAAATGGGATATTCTCTGAGATTAATGGGAAATTGGGGGTGGGGAACTCTACTCCCCCCCACCCCTCTCCTTTTTGGGTAGTTTTGAGTTGTTGGTTTTCTTCTTCGATGGGGCAGAAGGAAGGTGGAGTGGTGCTCCACAGTGACCTAAGCCCTTAGCAGGGTACCCAATGGGCTGACCGGCACAGCAAGTTCTTTTTTTTTTTTTTTTTTAATATATTTTTTACAGAGAGGAAGGGAGAGGGATAGAGAGTTAGAAACAGCGATCAGCTGCCTCTTGTACACCTCCTACTGGGGATGTGCCCGAAATCAAGGTACATGCCCTTGGCCGGAATCGAACCTGGGACCTTTTAGTCCGCAGGCTGACGCTCTATCCACTGAGCCAAACCAGTTAGGGTGACACAGCAGGTTCTGAAGTCATCTTACTCTGGTGCTGAGACTCCCTTCCCCTCTTTGGACCTCACCGTGATGTAGCTACAAGTAGCTTCTGATGCTTATGCATATGAGCCTGGGAGCCACAGATGATCAGAGAGGGGAATGCTCAAGAGTCCCTAAGCTGGAAGCAGAATCCTGGAGGGAGAAAGGCACCACTCAGCTGCTTAGAGATAGAGTTACGGATTCAGGTCAGAGGGGCAGCAGGTCTGCAAGATGAACATTGTCTGCTGATGACAAAGAAATAGATCCTAGTACAAAGCCTTTATGTTTTCTCTATCTCACCCTAACTGACAGCATAGGAGGAATATGGAGTTGGTCCCCATGCAAATTGACCTTTAGCTAGGGCAGCGATTTTCAACTGGTGCGCTGCAAGAATGTTTCAAACATGCAATGCCTGACTTTAATCAGGGACACTGACCTCTTTGCTCTTAGATTGTAAAATTAAAAAAAAAAAATGACATCAGCCAACTCAACAATAGCCGTTTGGTGTGAATGAATCAAAATTACATCTTTTTTTGGTGGGGGGGTCAGATTGGCAAAATATATATTTTTTGGTATGCGCAGAATTTTAGTAATTAGTTTATGTGTGCCAGGAGATGAAAAGACATAAAAATCGCTGACCTAGGGAAATGTATGATGAACCTACGTGCTCAAATTCCATCATGTCTGCTGTCCTGCAAACATCTTTTCTGTCTCACAGGACCTTTTCTTGTTTGCCTCCGGGCCCTTCTTGAAGAAGCTGTTTTGGACAAAAAGAGCCTTGAGTTCAAGCTGATGATCTGATCTAAAACTAAATGGCCTCCTCCCGTCACCTTGCATTAACTTTGCTTTCACCTTGAACCTTCATTGCCCTTTATAATTCTGAGTTTCATGGCTTCTATTTCTATTGAGTTCTTAACTTACCTCTTAAATATAGGAACCATGGTTTTTATTTTATCAGACTGGGCACTAGTTCCCTGGAGGTAGGACTCTTAGAACCATTAAAACTCTGGGAGCATACTTACGGTTCATGAATCCTTCTGGGCTTCATGTTTAGGTTGGAGGGAATTAGGATAATGGTGACTGTCACCATCACTGTTACCTACTAAGGCCATGCTCCTGGGTAAAAGACCAGAGACCCTCTTTGGTATCTAGTCCCTTGTCTCATGTCTAATATAACCTGTCATTTTCTTTTACAGGTGGCCGTAGCAGCAGGAGGGATGGCCCCTGAGGAATTTGGCGAAGTACATCAGTCACCTGATATCCGGAGCCCTGGCAAATTCAGTGTCTTTCACAGACTCAAGCCAGGTAGGGATCTGGGATCTAAGGTCAATCAGAGGCCACAGGCCTGCTTTTGTAAGGGACACACACACACACACACACACACACACACACACACACACTTTCTTATTCCCAAAGATCTCAGGAGGTCTTTCCTTAGCTTTTTGTTTGACCCTATTATGGTATCCTACCTTCTGATTAACAATTTCTCCCTCCTGGCTAGAGTAGGTAACCCCCTTTATTAGCATCAGCAGTCATTTCATTCCCATTCTTTCCTCTTCGCCAGCTGTGCTAATGGATATTCCTCTATGGTGGGATGCTGATGTCGGTTACTCTCAGCCTCTCCTCTGTAACACCTGCTCCTCTCACCCACCACCTCATGTACACATAGCTCTGCCTTCTCTTTCCCGATAAGCTATGTTCTCTCCCTTTATTCTAAGTCAGGATAGGGCAGTGCTGTCCATTCTTACTGCATCTCATCAGCTTCTCCACCTCCTTCCAGGTTAGATGGGAGATCACCTATCCAAACACTGTGCTAGACACTAGAAGGAGAGGCCTACAGGCTGCTTCTCTCCATCCTCAAGGCCCAGAACTGGGCAGGTCACCAGCCTCCAGTACTCACCTCCACCTTCCTGCTGCCAGGTAGGTGTGCTCCTCTCCCTGCCCACCAACCCCAAACAGGGTCATGTTTCTCTCTGGGAGTATTTCTCTCTATTGTTAAGTATCTTCAACGAGAGGAAGCCCTTAGTGACTCAGTTCTCTGCCTTGGTGACTTCTTGCCCTAATCTTTAGTGAGAACTTCCTGTTAAGTCTCCATCCCCTTTCTGTAGTTCAGAACCATTTTTCCCATTTAGTGGGTATGGGAAGAAGTGACCAGTAAACATAGTATTTGACACTGGAAGGGAAAGGTCTACTGACAGGCAGCTTTTCTCTTGGGGTTAGAAGTCTGAAGCCCCAGATGTGTATTCTGCCCAGTGGCCTGGCATTCTTAGAGAGTATCTGGGTCTTTTGAGGAAAGGTGTTTTATCTGGTGTCCATTCCAGAGGGCAAGGATCTCAGACTCTGAAGAGTCTGTCCCTATTCATCCCCACACCTCCCCAGGAAGTGGAGAATGGATTGCTGTAGGGCAGAACCCACCACTAGGTGATACTCTGTCTTGAGCTCAGGTGGCAGCTCTTGTCTGGCGCCTGTAGAGAGTTGACAGGTGCCAGAGCCTCTCCTGCCATTGGAGGTAACGTCAGCTTACCCTTTTGACCTTAGGCCTGCCTCTTTCACACTTGCAATCCAGACAACACAGGCAGCGGGCTTAAACAAGTGCCAGCTCTGGGTAAGGTGCTCCCTCCCCTTGAGTTGGAGTTAGGATGGGGTGGATGGAGGAATAGGGCAGGTGTTAGAAAGCAGGAAATGCTCCCCGGAAGTGGTCAAGCAGTAAATATGCGTGGGATACCTTGATGGCACAGAGAGCACTAACATTTATAACACTGTCCACCTATCTGTCTTCCTGGCTGATGCCCCAAAGCTGTTTGGGCCACTTGGGCAGCTGCAGTCTTGGTTTCTGCCACACGAGGGTGCTGCTGACCAATTAAATCTCCTGCCCCTTAGCAGATAGGATTTGGGCAACTGGGGGTACCCTTTCCCTAAGATAGAGGTCAGAACGACCCCAAGAGGGCCTGAGAATAGAACCTAAGAAGCCAAAAAATTCTAAGTGCCACTTGTTCTTCCTTAAAAATGGCCTGAGACCTTGAACAGTTTGCCCTGGTGACCTGATTCTCAGTATGTTCCCAGCTGAACTTGGGAAGCCCCCCCCTAGCTATAGGCACTGAACAACTTGCATAGGTGCTTCTCTCCCTCAGGGTGTAGCATCTCCAGCTGTCCACTCCACTGTCTCCCTGCTTCTGAGACAGTCACTTTTTAGCCCAGAGCATGGGGCTACCTGTGCTTTTCAGAGAAAAAAAAATCTTACAGTTGTTTTAAGAGAAGTAGCTTTGTTAGTGAGAGAGTGTTGGAGAGAGGACCTAGAAGACAGAGTGTGGGAAAATTCAGCCTTCTGTGCCCCCAGCACAAACCTGCAGAGCTCAAGATGGTCTGATAGTTATTTGCAGCCTGAGTGGGTGGAGGATACCCCAGGACACCCCAGGGCTCTGGGCCAAAAAAGGTGTCAGAAAGCAGGATGGGGAGGGAGGCTGCTTTGGCCCATGAGCCTCATACTGACCTCACACCATGTAATGGCTCTGCTAGGGAATTCAAGTGGCCATGGAGCCCTTATGGGGATGAGGCACCACACAATTGCTCCTCAGTCTCCATGAGCCCTTCCAGGCTGAACAGGCTAAGGGAGATGACAGAGGTTCTGCTCCTCCCTCCTACCCCCTGCCCGAGGGCCCCTCCCCAGGAGGACAGCTTGATTAAACAGTCGGTGCTGCTGGAATTACTGCACAGCTGGCGCTCCCCCCAGCACCCCGAGCAGAGCAGCAGCGCAGATTAAAATCTCCAATTAGCGTTAAAGTGAAGTGAGGAGGTACTGAGGCTGCCAAGGAGGCCAGGCGGGGGCCCTGAGTCGGCAAACCACCCCCATTCCTGCCTGGGTTCTGAGTGCCACCCTTAGTCATCCCTTCTTTCCTAGCTCCTCTCCCAACAGCTCTTGGTGCCCGGTAGCTTGGCATTGCCTGGGGGCAGAGGACTTTACCAGGAGTGGGGAAGGGGTACATGCTGACAAAATGCTGGGGACATAGTAAGTGTGGAAGAGAATGAGAGTTATCAGTGCTCATCAAGGGAGATACTCTACTCACAGCCTGCCAGGTAGCCAGGTCAAGGTGCCTTCACAATACTGCTGTTTCTTTTTGCCTAGAGAAAGGGCAAACAGAACAAGTCTTTTCAGACACTCTTATCTATAAGGTGCTGGGGATGTAGTGCCAACACCGTTGTTCATCCTTGTATATTTTATCCCATCTGACCCATTTGCTCCCACCCAAATTATGGCTCCTCCCTCCCACCCTCCCTCCATTCTTTTCTCAGTTTTCCTGTGGGCAGGGGTAGGCACAGCCTGGCTTGGGAACATTGCCATGCCCTGCCACCTGGGTCCCAGCCGCCTCTTCTTTATTTTCTTTGCAATGTCAGGAAGAGCAGTGATATGCCAAGAATGGAGGCCTCAGACTCTCCCAACCCCTGAACATCACCCCCCACCACCACCACCTAAGGGCTCTCTACCATTTACACTTCTGCCCTTCACCCACGAAGCCCAGAAGGAGGGCAGCACAGCTAGCCATGCCCTTTGACTTCCTCTGCCCCTTTAAGGGAAATGGAAGTGGGTACCCAGCTGACTGAACCTACTCACACCTCCAGAAATTAGACACCAGGGCACAGTGCCACCCTCCCAGGCTGGCACATGCTACCCTGGCAGCGGTTCAAATAGTAACCCCCCCACTGCCATACCCCCACCCCTATGTCTTCCTCTTCTCTCTCCCTTGTTCTTCCTCTCTCTCTTTCCCTTTTTTTTTCTCAGCTCAAAGCACAGCTGAGCCTTAAGGGGGGCGGGGGGACCAAGCTGGGGCAAGGGGGGTGGAGAGCTCCAATAGCACGTTTTCACCTGCCATTTAATTGGATGTATTTTTAATTAATGGGACCTCAGGGACCAACATGAGACAATCTGATCTCTGAATAGGGACAGGGGAGGGATCGGGTAAGGGAGGAGGATTGGGCCACTGGGTGCGGTTACCGGGAACCCAGGCCCATCAATCACTGGCCACTTTGCGTTCTGGCATGGAGAATAGTGAGGTGGAGGAAGAGGGGAGGCACTGAGGAGAGGTGCCAGGATTTACCCCCAACTGCCAGGAGCTTCAAAAAGGATGGAACTGTACCGGTTGACTCAGGCCTGGGGCCCAAAATTGCAGCCAGAATATTAGGTAAGGCTGTTTTCTTGCTCCCAGGATTTTGTCCAGTTGGGCTTGTCCCAGTGAGTGCTATAACGTGAAGTGAAAGGAAGGTGGGGACAGAGCTTTGAAGAGAGAGGACAAGAGCTAGGGACCATAGAACCAGAGACTGTGGTGAGAGAGAGGATAAGGGCAGGGTTCAGAGATATTTCTGTACGTTTAGACATGAAATAAGTGCCATGGAAATTACATGCAAAACAGCATGCAAATGAGGACTGTGCCTTTGGGGTATGAATCATAGAACCTTACTGTTGCAAGGAAGAGAACTTGGAGCTCATCTTGCTGAACTCTTCATTTTATAGTTGTGGAAACAGAGCCAGAGATGGGAAATAGTTGAATCCTGTCCTGGTGTTGTTTTGTGTTCCTGGATTTGGAGAGTTCCTGGGAGCACAGGGAAAGGTACATAGGTAGGGTGTGGGGGGAAAGTCAAGGGAAGAGTGTCGGCAGGATATTACTCTCTACTGCTTGGAGTCTCTTGTCTCTGGCCCCTGAGTCTTGGAGGCAACTCAGGGGAGTAAGGCAGGTGTACTACTCGGGGACATTTCCCTTAAACAGCCTATTCCAAAGATTATTTTATGTATCCCCTTGCTTCCAGGCAGACAGATCCCACTCCACCCCCACTTCCATGGGATTTTACCATATTTTCTAAGGTCCACAGAGAAGGAAATGCACCAACTACCTCAGTTTCTTGACCTAGAAATAAATCCCTCAATGATGACTAAATATTGAGCTTTTTTTGAGATTTTTAGCACAAGTTTCCCTGCTGCAATATAAGCTGCTAGAGAAAATTAAGCCCCCACCCCCACCCCAAAAAAAGTACTGAGGAGTGGTCTTACACCTGTTGTCCATGTCTAAGCTGAGAACAGAGATGGAAATGAAACTACCGGCTCTGAAGGCTGAGTCAGAAATGCCCCTGCCTGTATTCATGTGGTGCCATGGCCCCAGAGCTCTCAGCCAGGCCCGTCTGGCTCCGTGTGGTGCTGGCCCACCCTGGAGAAAAGGGCACCTTTCCTGCTGTCCCTTCCCCACCTCCTGCTTCCTTCACTATCCAGACACTGGGGTTGAGAAGCGAGAGCAGGAAGGTGAAAGGGGACTTCCCGC